GGCTTCTGCGGACCGGGATATGCTGTCGGGGCCAGGCAGTGATCCCGACAGGCAAACCCCAAACTTCTCAGCCCAGGTCAAGCCTTCGATCCCTGACCTCCCGTTTCTTTCTGGTTGCGGCTCTGCTCGCAAAGGAGAGCAGTAAATAACAAACACGGGATGCTAATTCCAATTCTTGGGCTCAAACAGAGATCCAGTGTCCGGCACATCACCCCCTGCCCATCTCCTGTGGCCCCGCCGGCGGTTTTTGAAACCCGTCTTAGGGGACCGGCAGCGGCTGGTGGGCGCCGGCCGCTCGCTGCCGTACCCGCGTCCGACGGATACGGGATCGCTGTGGTTTCCTCCAAGATTCACTGGGGTTGCTTAGAGACAGACGCTGGTGAGGTCCGGAGCTGGAAATGTTCCGTCTTGGAAATGGTGAAGCTGAACTTGGCGTTAAAATGGGAGCAGGTCTGCTGGGAGAAGCGCATCTGCCCGTGTCCTGACTCCGCTTTTGGGTCTCTGCAAGTGACGGCCGGTGCTGGCAAACCGGGACCCTCTGCTCGGGCTGGGCAGGAGGCCAGGGGCAGGGGCAGTGCCCCTGGAAGCCCTGCACCCAAATCGGGGGTCTTGCACCATTGCCAGTGGTTGGAGATGGATGTGGAGATGGGGATGCCTTCTTCTTGCCTTCTTACGCTCTCCTGGTCTCCAAGCTGGTGGCTTTGGGGCTAAAGCCAGGCTGTGGGGACAAGGCAGCCGGGCAGCAGCATCGGCCTCCTTCCCCTGCCGTGGTCCAGCTGCTCCTGCCAAGCTCATCCTCCCGTGCCAGCTGCCGAGCAGAGGCTGGGGACAAGCTGATAGCAAAAAGGTCTCTGATGGGAAGGTGCAGATGATGCTGATGAATGCCGATCGCTGTGGATTCAGCTGTGGTTACTAGGGATGCAGCACTGGCAGCGAGCGGGTATGAGACGATGCAAAGCAAAGGCACGAGCGGTGAGGTGACAGAGGAGACCGAGCATCAGAGGTGCAGGGCTTCTTGGGAGAGAAGTTGAAAGTAGAAGCTGCTTGGGTTCCTCTGTGACAGGAACAGTTAAATATAAGCGGGGGGGGGTTTGGGGTGGAAAGGAAAAGGAAAAAAAAAGAGAGACTGAGCCCCCAAGATGGGAATGAGGAGCCATTGAGGGCACAACAGCATTTCCCCCTGCCTTGAAGCGGGAGGGTGGCCAGCGTCATCCTGAGCACAGCTCTTCTCATGTATAGCACATATGTCTGCTATTCCATGGAGTTTAACGTGGCACTAGGTTAAGGTATCCCCTGGCTGCAGTGGGCTGGCGTCTCGCTGCGCTTGCTGCTGACCATCTGGACTTGCTGATGTAAGGCATAAAAATGGCTTTTCCGTCATGCCTGCAGAGATGCCACCGGGTACCCACCCTCCAGGGGACCAGCCCGTTCCGCCGCCCTGGCCAAGCCTCTGCTGGGAGCTTGTTCCCCGTGGGCTCAGCCCGCAAGCCGCTATCTTGAAGGATGCAAGGTGCTGAGCTGGAACGGGGTGAAGAGCAAAGCTGTCGCTCTGTCAAAGCCCGTGCTGCGGGCGCACTGGTGTGGGTATACCCTCAGTCCTGCCTCGGTTTCCCTGTTGCTCCGAGTAACCCTGACCTAGATCCCGAAGGATCGTGGATTGTGCTCTCCTGCTTTGCGAGGACTTGATGCTTTCTGACCTTGTCTCCCTTGCCCAGCTGGAGGGAGACCTCTGCACCGCAGCGGCTCCCTGGGGCCAGCCCGCTGCCTCCAGCCCCTGCAACACCCTCCCCAGAGCAGGGGGAAAGGGCAGAAACCCTCCTGTTTCGAAATGCAGCTTGTGCAACGCTGAAACGCAGAATTCATCGCCTGGCTGGTGAACAGCTCGCTACGTCTACGGCCGCTGGCTGGCTGAACGTGGATCCCCAACAGCGGATCGCGTGCTGCCGGGCTGTATCAGAAGTTAGTGTCCGTGTGTGAGCACCCTGAGCCGGTGCAGGTGACCTCCAGCAGCCTGCATTGCTCAGTTGTGGTATGCGCGCTGCTTTTCCTTTTTTTTTTTTTTTTTCCTGTCTTTTTACTCTAGCAGCTGTCATAATACATAGTGATGCTGGAGGAAAATCCTCCCTGAATCAGCTGTGCTGGTTGCAAGAGCTGGCTGTGCCAGCTGCGTGACATGGCTTGTAGAAAGCCCGGCCCCCCACACACCCCTTTT